GGGGGTTCATCCCCACACCGCCCCGCGGAATAAAAGTCGCGGAAGAGAGGCCGTTTATTTGATTTTCATTCCATAATGCCCATGCCCGGCCGACTAGCCGCATAGCCACGCGCCTCTCTAAGGCTGGACTATGGTCTGCTCTCTGAAAGAGAGAGAGGGGGGGGGAGAGAAGAGAGAGAGAGAGAAGGGGTGGGGAAGGGAGGAGAAGAGAGAGAGAGAGAGAGAGAGAGAGAGAGAGGGGGTCAGTTCCGAGGCTAGGGCCGCGCCGGAGAACGGCCAATAATTCTTGTTAACTTGCGTCTTATTATTTTTTGCCCACATTCTTCGGCTTTCGCGGACCCTATCCCTAAAGTCTATTCGGTGGAGAGGGAACGCGGATGGAACGGGGATATAGGGGGGGAGGGGGGGTCCAGCCCCTACATTCTGCGTATGCCGCCTGCCACCACCACCGCAGCAGCAAGAAGACGGAACGGGGTGGCTGCTACTAGCCCTGGGGAAGGGGTGCGGGTGGGGGGGCAAGTGTTGCCGCGCGTCGAGAATTTTAGGACACAACGATCTTGGAGAGAGAGAGAGAGAGAGAGAGAGAGAGAGAGAGAAGGAAAGGGAGAAGAGGGGGTGGGGAGAGAGATGGAAATAAGGGGTAGTGGGGGGGTGGAGAGAGGGAGAGAGGGCGAGTTCATCTCCATATCACTTCCTGCTTTTCTCACTTACCCTCTTACCACCCCCCTTCGCAACGTGGATGAGGGAGATTTATTCTCCGGAGTATCAGTGCAATTTTCTTTTTGAAAAGGGTAACCTAATAAAGGTACTGTACATCGATGAGGAGGAGGAGGAGGAGGAGGAGGAGGATGATCGCGCTGCGATTATAATCCCCGAGGCCCCAGCCGCCTGCCCCACTGCTCGGCCCCCCCGCGCCCCCCGCGCACAAGCCGCGCGCTCTACAGCCCGAGGAAGGAGGGCCCCGGCGCCCTATACGCGACCGGGTTGACAGTCACGTCTTGCTAGGGATTCTCTCTCTCCCGTTCGGCACGTTCGGCGCGGGGCGCGGTGAGGCGCGGTGTGGGCCTGCCACGGACCTCACCGGCAGCTGGGCTGATGCGCCCCGGGGGCCTCACCAGTCGCCTCGCGAGACCAAGGCGGCGGCGGCGCTGGAGTGTGCTCCTCATCCAGGCGGAGGAGGCCCTGCCCTACCCTCGCTCCTCCTCCTCCTGCTCCTCCTCCTGCTTCTCCTCTCTGGCAACGACATACGGGCCGAGTGCGACAAACTCATCACCTCATTTCCCCAAAAATGAATCGACACGTAAAGGAGTGAGTGGCGCTCAGTGATGATGACGCTACTTTGATTTAACGAAATATAATTGGCTGCTGCTCTGCTGGGGGATCGACATCCTCCGAGAGGCACTGGACCGCGCCGTATGGGGTGCCCACCCCCCGCCACGAGTACCGGAGCCCAAACGAGTGCATATGCGGGCCGCCGGTGGGGGGTCATGATGGCGGCGGGGAGGTGGGCCAGTCCGGTCGCGCCACACAGACAGACACAGACACACACACATACACACCAGACCTTCTTAACACGTAAGGGGTGGCAGCGGACAGCCTCAGGCTACACAACCCCGCCCACCTCCCCTCCCCCAGCATTCTCCCCCTTTCTCTTCTATATTTTTTTTACCCTGCTCCTGGTACATGCCCGCCCGCGCGCGCGCGTGTGTATGTCTGTCTGCAACCCTTATTCGCGCGACCCGTATGGCTGGACCAGCCAGGCCTGCTCCATAGAATGTAACTCGCGCATTTAATACGCTCAACTACACTGCTGCTGCACTCTCTAAAGTGCGACTATTATCATTTGCCCCCACCGCGCGCTCTCTTGCGCTCGCATGATTACCTTTGTAGTTGGCATATTTGCGCTCCGGATTGGGGGGTGTCGTGCTGTGCTCGCAGCAGCAGCTAGCAGCCCCCGGCTACCCCCCTCCCCCCCCCCCTCCCTCCTTTCCCGTGATGCACTCGTCAAACAAGATGGCGGCGCTGAGCACACGACAGTTAACTTTTTAAACGCGCAATGCGCCATTGTCCACGGCCTCATCAACAAAAGAAATATTTTTATTCATTCTTTTACAAATGCTAGTAAGTTGAAATCACTGAGAATTTTTTAAAGTTCCAAGAATTCCTAGAATTTATAGAATTTGAAAGGTAGTAGGTACTTGTCCTAACTCTTTTGCAAGCTTGTAATGGCAAAATCATGTAGCCTTGATTATGCTCTCACTAATGAAGCTTTTCAGAACTGCTACTTCACATGCTTCTTCTTCTTCCTCCTCTCTTTTCCCCCTCTTTTTTGGATTTATGAATACGTAACCCTAAGGGGTTTCCGGCGGCCATATCCTCTCTTCCCCTTCCTCTCGACTGGTCCAAAAGGGTTGAAATGAGCATCGCCGCTGCGCAATCAGCCGAAATGTGATTATCGTATCCCCGCCAAATTTGTGACGGAATTGGTGCCGAATCAGGAGGAGGCAGCAGCGGGGCGTGTTAGGGTGGTCCAATTGGGGGGGGGGGGGAGGAGCCAGCCCAGCCCAAATCCAGCTCGATACGGGCTTCTTGACGCGAGCAGTGGCGTAAATATGTAAGCAGCGACTTCGGAGCAGTTTCTGAAACTCGCCTCGTCTGATCTATACTGCTGTCTTGGTCCAGCTGCTCCAGATTCATCAAGGAATTCCAATTTTGATAATGACAATAAAGGAAGCGCTTGGCGATTCTCTCTCTCTCTCTCTCCGCCTCCTCTCTCCCTCTCCCTCCCTCCCTCCCTCTTTTGCTCTCACCCTCTCTCCCTTCTCCCCAACTTCCCTCGCCCCCCCCCTTCCCGATGAAATCGAACGCCGATTACAAAAGCTTTCGGGAGTATTTCGATGGACCCTCGCCGCCACTTCTCATTTGCATAAGAACAGAAAGAACAGCGCGGAGGTCCGGCCGCGCGCGGCTCGCGGCTGAGAAAACGCACAAACGCGGCCCGTATGCACTTGGAGCAGAGCCGGCGGTATAATCCCGAAACGAGACCGCGCTGTCATGTCACTCACTCTGCGTTAGCAGCAGCATTCAGACTTACTTTTTAACATGGGTAGGTCTCCGATGAACTCGCCGCCGTCCCCTACGTTGGTGTTCTGCAACATGACAAAACAAAAGCAAAGGGTTGCTCGTCAGTAAGGGACAAAGTCGTGCGATAATCACAAATCTATATAAGCCCTTTTCGATTAACTAAAAATAAATGCGCCCTTGATACTATGTTTTGGGTTTAGTAAAAGAGTCAAGTGTGGTATACAGTTTGCGAGTATTTCTCTGAAAGTGGGCGTAAAAAAACTGCTGTATAAAACGAGATGTCTATCTCGAAAGAGGCTGGCCGACGAAACAGGCGCATATGAGGGCGAAGGGAAGGGGTGGCGCGGCTAGGGCTGTGCGATATTCGGGAATACCGAAACGGTATCGGTATTTTTTTTATACCGAGGCTTCGGTATTTTAAATTTTTGCAATTCGGGATCGATATTTCGGTATTATCGAAATATCGGAAAATACCGAAAGTTTGGGAATTTCGGTATTTCGGTATTTCCATATTTCGATATTTCCATAATACGAAGAGTTTGGTACTCAGAGTCAGAGTGGGTGCGCGCGCCCCTGAAACCTTTACTTTTACTTGTCCGCCCCCCCCCCCCTCTCCCCAGTCTCTCCTAGGCCTGCCTTTCTTTTCCCGGTCTCCCTGCTCTTCATATAAATACATGGCATCGCGCTTTTTTTTTCAAAGTGCCCAAATTGTTTCACTTCCTCGTTAGCTTCTCTGTTGTCGAAATTTCGATACTTCGGTATTTCGATATTTCGGTATTTCGGTATTTTCGGTACGGTATCGATAACCGAAACCGACAAGTTTCGGTATTTTTTTAATATCGAAGTTCGGTACTGAAATTTCAATACCGCACAGCCCTAGGCGCGGCGTCACCGGGGGAGGAGAGAGCGGCTCGCCTGGTCTTCCCTCTCCTTGAATGAGCAGCAATTTCATAACCGCTTTGGACCCGTCCGTCCTGCTCCGTCCGCCCCACGCACGGCACACACACACACTATGTTGCCTCCATAGATATTTGGACCACAACAGGCAAGCGGCCAGGCAGTAGAGCAAGGGAGCGATCGCCTCCCCCTCCCCCAACCCATTTCTTCTGTTGGTCACTTCAATTAGTGTGTGCCCCCCCCCCCTTCCCCCCGTGTGTTGTGTGCAGAGTAATATTAGTTTTATCGGAAGAGCTTAGAAAAGAAAGAAGATCGGTCTGGCCAGCTGGAAAAGGGATCGCAGGGCCGACCCAACCCCCACCTCCGCCGCCCTATGCCAAGCCCCGAGGGGTGTTCAGCCCTTCCACACCGCAAGGCCGCAGTGGACAGGACACAGACCACAGCAGACGGACGCGCCCGGCGACTACCGGCTCCCACTGTTAGGATAGTAAGTCTGCCTCGGATGTATCGAAAGGACCACACACAACAAACTAAAATAATTTTGCTAAGTGAAAGCACCCTCACAAAAATGAATTTTCCATCCAAAAAAAGGGTTTCTGTGTATGGTGTGTGTCCTCACGCTACTAGCAAATGACATATTTCCGCATATTTCTGAATGTCGACACGTCGGTACTGGCTTGCTGGCTGCACTCCCGCTTCCCTTTCTCCCCGTCCTCCCCCTCCCCGCGCTCCTCTCTCACACACACACGTGCGATATCAAAAAGGGGAATGCTGCTGCTGCTGCTCTTTATTGTGGAGCAAGGCGCCGCGGCGGCGGCCCGGACAGCGCCAAATCCAAATCGACGATCCCCTCCCCTCCCCTCCGCATTGTGCAGCCGCCCCCGCGCGGCCTGGCGCGTCCACTGATAAGGCTTGCTGACGCACGACGATGTATCACCTCCTGCATACGTTTCCTTAAGGCTTTTACCTAGTCACCATACAACTTTCGCAAATATTTTTTTTGTCTTTTTTTTTGCGTATTTTACATAACCCAGTTACCTAGTGTAGTATCCTCGCGCGCCCTTTTTTTATCGCGTCTGAAAAGTTCGAATGTGTATAAAATGACCCTACTCTGGGGCGCGGGACGGCGGCTGTGGCGCGGGCGGGCTCCCCTGGCTACACTGATAAACTAAGTGTTCAACTGCTCAACACTTGTAAGTGTGCAACTGCAAGTTGAATACTTGCAAGTGTCCAACTCCGTAGTTCTACACTTGCAAGTGTTAAACTCGGTAGGTGTGCACTTGCAAGTGTGCAACTCCTCAGTTAAACACTTGCTTAGATTGGACGCTTACTGTGTAGGAAGTGCTCAACCGAGGAGTTGCACACTTGCAAGTGCACACCTACCGAGTTTAACACTTGCAAGTGTAGAACTACGGAGTTGGACACTTGCAAGTATTCAACTTGCAGTTGCACACTTACAAGTGTTGAGCAGTTGAACACTTAGTTTATCAGTGTATAGGAGCCGCTTGCAGAGGATTGACGATACAGCGTATATCAGCCGCCCCTGTCCCTCCTTCCGGCGCCCGCCGCCCCGCCCGGCGACGCCCCCCTCATAGCCCCCGAGATAAGCCCTTCATCCGGTGAGCGGGGGCCTCTCCCCTCGCACCTCGCATCGCGGGCGGGGCGGCGCCCTGCTGCTGCTGCTGTTACCTGTACCGAAAGGGCTGTGCTGATGCCTCGCGCACGCACCTTACAGCGCGTAGCGCGTCGTCGTGTACTCGAGACGCATCATTGCTTTGACATGCAGTGCTGCACGTGAAAACAGCAGCGGGCTTTGAGCAAAACTGTGCTGCTGCAGCAGCATAGCGCGGGGGCGCAAGGAGCGCGGGGTTGCGGCGGTCAGGGTCGGGCTGTGCGGTACGACCGGGACGGGCGGGGACGTGTCATATCCGTCACATAGTGGAGCACCCCGCGCTGCACCCCGCCTCACCCCGCGCCCCCGCGGGTGCACCCTTAACAAGCAGGCTCCGCTCCGCCTATTGTGGGGGTATTAGCGGGAGGCTACCCGACCCCACCCCGCCCCGCCCCGGCCGCGCCTTAGCCATACGCAATAATACACCGAAGTCCCCCATCCCCTCCCTCACCTCTCCCCCTTATCCTGTGCATATAATAGGCACTTCAACGTCCTCCTGTACAAAAAGCTGCATGTGTCTCTGAATCTGCAACCTGAGGCGAGATGTGTTTGTATTTGTATTTGTGTGAGTGTGTTGCGTACAGTCAGGAGGTGAAGCCTCTTCCTCGCTTTTCGCTAGAGCACTATCGAAGAACGCCAGGACGCCCTGGCAAAGACAAATCAGTTTTGTCTGGGATTTATCTTTTGGCATGAGCAAACGAAAACTAAAATTTACAAAATGAAAAACAAAATAGCAAAATTCAAAAGTAGTTGGTTTTGAATTATTTTTTTAAAGGGTCGCATATTTTCTAGCGGACATGGAATTGGAATTTTAATTTTTAGTTGCAAGTTATACTTTTAGTGTGTAGACTAGGCATCGGTATATTAATAATCATGCTTGGTCTTTAAAAAACAAAAAAAAACAAAAAAAAAAAACATACATATCGCATGAAAAAGGGAATATGACAATTTCATATCCGCACTGTGCTCTCTGCTTATCATTATTAGCCTGACACAGGAAGCGCTTTGTGTTTTTGTTTGGGAACGCCTCCTGCACGCCCCCCAAACAGCGCACCCCGGCTCCCCTGCCGAGCGCAGCGGGCCGCGCCCTCTGCCCCCCTGTGCTGTGTGCAAGCGACAAAATTGGCAATCGGATTTCGGCAATAATAAGTGTAAGAAGAACGCGTTTTACATTTCACGTGGTGTTTGTCGAAGACGCGAAAGCAATAGTGCCGATTTATGCGAATGTGAAACGGTATTTCGCGGCTCGGAAACAATGGTGTGAAAAATGTAACGGAAAAGTGATGTTGCTGCGTAATGCGTGCGTAAAAGGTCGGGATACGGCGGGGCGGGGCGGGGCGAGGCGGACGAGAAGGTGTCAAGTGGGCACCGCGAGGTACTCGGACAGAGTGATGAGGCCGTGCTCACGAGTGTCAGCCTCCCCCACTCTCTCCCTCTCCCAGACCCTCTTATCCTCCCTTTAATTACTTTTAATAACTCTCTTTGCACCTTTTTGTATGACAAAAGGCTTGGGCTGCTGCCTACCGGACCGCCGTGTGCTGCTTTGGCTCGGGACAGCATTAGCCCGATGCGTGGAGGCAAGAGACACGGAGGTGGCGCTCACTGGTCGCGCTGAGCGAATATTTTAAAACAATGGTCACCAATGCGACACAGCGTCGGGTAGTACGCATAGCACATAGTCCATCAGATTTAAAGTTAAGTAGGCCGTCGCTTCAGCCTCCACCCGCCTCTCGCATTCGATCCATCTCTAGGCAGCGACGTGTCTGCCGTACTGAGCTCGCGGCCCAGCCACACACCATCATATGCCACTCACTGCAACCAGCCATCAGTAATTTTTATTTTTTGTTTCGTTATGTTGTAATACGCCTACTGATCTAAGCCTCAGTCCTCCGCTGGCGTTTCTAGCCACGCAGTGTGGCTTTTTCTATTAATTTGGTTTTGCTATAACGCGCCCTTGTGTTTGATTGATGGCAACATAGAGCCTTACATGGCCCCGAAACATTTGGCTACACGGAAAAACTGAACTCTAGACTGAGCACAAAGCTAGACAACTACTCGAACTTGGCGGCGAAGTCTAGTCAGGGTCAAATACGCGCAATTTTCCTTTTTTTTTAAATTTAAATAAAAATTGCAAATCCCCTTTATCCGGTCTATGACTCCGGCCTATGACTCCGCAGCCTATGGCTCCGGCCGCGGGGCGGTCGTTGGACCTTGAAAAAGATCCTGACTGGAATTTAGCCGGAGCCTCCAGGCGAGACGAGACGGTATTAATCACGGCAGTAACAATAACGCCATATAGCGGCCCTGAGGGGGAGCGTACGTAAACCACGGCACCACCCTTGAATAACGAGTAACGACTCGCGAATGGGACGAGAAAAAAAAATTCAATATAGTTATATGAAGTTGCGTGCCAAAGGGCGTCTCTAGCAGTTGCGCGAATCAAACAGGCAGGCAGGCGGGCGGGCCTCCTGTACGGGACGGTGGTGGTTCTTCTTT